TCCGATTAGTGGACGACCCGCTCTACCTCTGAGCCACAGCTGCCCCTTAAGCAAGCAGTAACCTCCACCAATGTGGAGGTAACAAAACCTGCAGTTCATCTAACGGCCACTAGAGGCTGGCTCGAGCAGTCTCCATAAGGCCCCATATTAAAATGGCCAACTTTACAACATGTTTACAGCCTGGTACAAAAAGCACTTTTGGTCTTTATAGCTAATTTCCCCGTTCACAGCCGACTGTTCTCAGTAACCAGGCTTCATTCAGTCCGCCTCTGCTCCACCCACGCTCCACCTCTTTGCCCATTTATGGATTAGCCGGGAGTCGGCAGAGTCAGGACTGCCAAGATGGCGACAGCCAGAGCCGACCCCACTGAGCTTCACAACGGCTCTTCACACACCTATGGCTGATGTCACTAGCCTTCATCCATTTTTAATCACACACTCTCAATTTAAAGACTAGCCCAGATAGTCTCTGCAAGCACACTGTCTGTCCCTTAATCTCTGTTCTCAAGTTGTTTTTTTCAGACTTTTTAATATGATTATTAATACACTGCTGTTAGTTTGACCTAAATATTAATTTACTAACTAAACAGGAAATATTTTATTAAATCATTCAACGTCTCAGTCTTATTAATGGTGTCAATGTAGAGCTGACACTGAGTTCCCCTGCAGTATCTTCACATTTAATATAACTGTAAAAAGACCAAGTAACACCCTAGTAATTAATCATTACTTATCTGTGGAGGAATTTAGGCCCACACCACTTCTTGCTCAACTGTGACTGAGGAGAACATTATTGCCAAACATTTGCCAGCTCTATGCGAGAGAATGTGTGTACTGCACCTCCACACAGTTTAGGCCTGTAGAGCAGACAGTGAGTGTGAGCAGCACATCATCACACCCTGCTGTAGGTGCCATCACAGTCTCACAGGAACAGTCCCTTTACTTACAAGCATGATTATTATATGTTCACACTGGGTCATACATTTGACCTACGTGTATGGGTGCATACACAGAGGCTGCTTTACTGTTTAGGGAATGTTATTGGTGCCAATTTAAGAGCAAGACTGGTTTAGCCAAAGTTGAACATTTTAACATCCATTCATGAATAGTTGTATCAGTGTGCTTTGTGCATATAAATTCAAAATGAGTGAGAGGGAGCACAGAACAAAGTGGAACACACAGCACTATGAGTCAGAGGTTGCAATACACTTATTGTGCGTCATTTTGACAGGCAGAGGCAGACTAACTTCATCATAACATATTATTGCCTGTCATTTTAATTACATTTTTTGAAATGATAATTAATTAATAATTAATATACCCTATTTATTAGCATTTCATTTTCAAAAACAACTCAATAGCATTTGATATACAGAGCTTACAGATGATGCATTTATAAGGGCATAGAGAGAAAAGCCACTGTGCGGTCCCCTTTCATGTCAACACCACACAAGGCTGATGAATGATTTTTAGCTCCTTGCTGCCACTTGCTTCCTCCGTAACATTAGCTGTATTCATCAACCACATCTAACACACTTTTTGAAGAAACTTTGGACACTCTGCTGCCGTGACATTTTGCGATAGCTAGGCTATGAAGCGATGTGATGGCTAAAGCTAGCTAGACAATGAGATCATGCATGTGAGATCAAAGACAAGACTACTCGACAGTAGCTCATTAAAATGCACACCCCAACTGGACAGGGGGGTCTACTACAGGTGGCAGTGACCGTGGTAACGTTACAGTACATCACCGTCCTGACAATCTGTCAAAATGACAGATAGCCGGGGCGCCCTGGTAGCTCATCTGGTTGAGTCCTTCCTGCAGTGACCCAGGTTCGATTTCAACCTGCAGCCCCTTGCTGCATGTCATCCCCCCTCTCTCTCACCTGACCTTACTGTCATTCTCCAGCTGCTCTTTCATAATAAAGGCAATACAAAGCCCCAAAAATCTACAAAAAAAAGACAGCCTTCAGATTTTTCCATCATGTTAAAATAATTCAGTCAGCGACAGAAAATATTTGGTTAACGCAACCCCTGCTATGAGTCAGCTGAAGGCTTTATGCATTGAATCTTAATATATGCGTGCATGACTGCATCTCAGCTCAGACAGGATGTCACTTACTCACAGTACAGTAAGACCAGTAGGATCAATAAACCAGTAATGGACCAATCACCTCCTCTGGTAACTCCTGCAGTGACTGTAGAGCACCAGTCGACAATGATGCACATACATGTTCACACACACGCAGTAGGATTTATGCGTGTTGAAGATGTACACCTCCGTCTACCTGTTGCAGCCTCTTGCACACCATCGCTGACTCTGCCAAACAGCAGGTGGAGAGGAGGAGCTGCTCCTCTCCACCTGCTGCTGCCCACTCTCCATTAACCTTACTGTGTAACCTATATGTAGTGATGCCCTGACGTGAGCGTAGAAGGACTCTGTGTATACATGAAAAAAAAAAGAAAAAAAAACTCATCGCAGACAGTTGCTAAGCTAAGGCTTAAAGTGCACTTCATGAAGCTAACTGCTAATCTCACCAGCCTGCTTTAAAAGGGAAAAACCGCCATACCGTCCAAGCAAAACGCAGTATTTACTAGTGTATTCGGTGTTCTTCAGCTCTGGCTACTTGACTTTATTACTTTATAATCTTTTCAACTATTAAGAGACTGAATAATACTTTCTAGCGGGGGAGCTTTTACATGATAGATTGTATAATGTCTCTGACAGACGAAGGGGAGAACCTCGTACAGACAGTCCTTTTGCTAAAGATCTCAAATCGATGTTTTTTTGTAAATAATGTGATTTTTATGTCGACTTGTGTTACTTTCACACAGTACATGTTTTTTGTGTAGGTTTTAATGATATTGTGTGCAATGTGAGTACATATTTAACTATTGGTATTTAGTTAGTCTGTTAATTGTACATTGAGTTCTAGACCTGTATAAAATTGTGTAAATGTGACCCATTATTTTTGTGTAACAAATTGTGCTTGTGACAATAAATTCTTATTGGTTACGTGGCTTCCATTCAAAGTTTTAGTCCTCCATTTGTCTCAAATTCATAACTGTACAGAAAGAGAGTGAGGTTAAGCGGGCTTCAACTGACTGTGTGGGTGTTGTATTTCACTCACTGTACATTACGCACCACTCTTATAACTTCTTTTTTCCCCAGTGTTCTCCAGTTGTGCATTTGACCACTTAGTTTTTGTACCAGACACAAATCCATCTATTGACAACATTTACAGACAACTGCAGACTTGATGGATTGTTGTACAAAACGCTTTATTAATGATTGGTGAACACGTATTACTGCAGATTGATTTCTAATTTCTGATTATTTCATTAGAAAGGGAATAATATAAACATGGGTTGCTTTAAGCATTTGAACAAATGATTGATGCTGTCAATTTTCTACTGAGGGCAGTATCAAACAGAGCCAGCTGTTATACCAGAGCATAAGCATGTCCTTCCTCATTGATAGGTAGTTAGATGGATGTGAGGAAGACACTGAGTTGCTGTCAGGGGGAAATATTCAAGGACGTGTCTATCCAAAATGAAAAAACTGAGCTATAATTTAGAAAGAATGCCAAGACAGTGTGACGACATATTCCTGTTTGTTTTGTTGAGGAAGTTTCCATCAGTCTTACTGGACTGAACTCATCCTCATAACTGTATTTGGTTGCAGCCAGAGTGTCAGACCCTGAACAGTTCTGTCAGCAGGTTACATGTGTTTGTGTTGCCAAAGCACTCAGCGGCCTTATTACATGTAAACATATGAACATAAGTAACATCAAGTTTTAACACGCATGCATGGTCTCCATGGTTAAAGGCCCACAATGAACGTGTGTGTGTGTGATGTCGTGTGTGTGGTGCTGGCTGCTGCTCAATGAATGCTGGGACAAACTCCCTCTAATCAATACTGAGTGATCACAAGTAGCAGAGGACCCTTGGCAACCCAAGTATCACACCAAAGTGTGTGGCAGTACACACGCCGGTCCATTACACTTTCAAAATAAAGCTTGCTGAAGTTGCAGTTTTGTTAGGTTTAGGGAAGCAAACTACTTGGTTGGATTTGGGAAAGAATCATACCTGACAAACCAGCGTTGAGTATTCAGGGTTCCCACACGTACTGGAAATATTCGAAATTTAGGGACACCCCTGGAAAGGTCCTGGAAAATGATTTTTTAAAAAGAGGGGAACCCTGGTTTTGGTTTTACAAGACATGGTCTCCATGGTTAAAGTCCTGTGTTTGTTTGACCTATCCATTCACTTGACCTCCTCTAAATGTTGACTCTGGTCCTCTTTATACTGATGGTACTGCTCCTTCATATGCATCTGTACTTTTTATGTCTGGACGTTGACACTGACACATTATCCTCTAGTGTCCATTACATTATTATTGCTAGTCCATTACATGCTTTGTCGTGAGACTGGGCTGCTCTTAGAAATGACAAAAAACATCTTTAGGAAAAATGTATTTGACGTGTGTTTTGACTTTTTAGTTTGGCCATCTGCTAACATGGAGGCAGCAGGCTTTCTGACCTAGACTGCAGTCAGCCACCAGAAGGCGATCAAGATGTCCATGTCCTCCATCTTTTATACGTCGATGGTTCCATCCATCATCATCGGTGGTCGCCAGCTCTCCTACAGTTACACTCCCTATAAATAGGCAGTGAAGTTCGGGCTGTATCTGTTGCACTGAGAGGTTTTTCTAGCACCACACATTTTTTTTTAGCATAGTGGTTATGTTTACCACAGGTGCGACATGTAACTCCATATACTGGAAAATGACGTGGCTGATGCACTTTTCCACACACAATGGAGCCTGTGGTGTGTGTGCTCTCAGTCAGTTCACTGACCTTTATGGCTGGGTTTGGGACCATGTGTCCTTTTCTGCTGAATGGCATGTATTGTCCTGTTTTGCTGGAGTTTGTCACC